GATGCGCAAAACTCCGCATTTGAACAGTCCATAGCAAATACTTAAACTAATAACAAAACAGTAGCTGATTCTGAAGCGCCAGATTGTCATAGCAAAGTCAGAATGACCTCCTCTCCTAGGTTCATGAAACTGTCGTCCATAAAATGCATTGCTGTTCTGTTGTAAGTAATCTTAAAGATTTCTAAATGCATCTACTTTCGGAAGGCCAAATAAAGTGCTTTTGCTTTCGTCTAGAAACACACAGCGTCTCCCTGACATGCTGCTTCAACACTAACTGCGGTTACTGAAACCACGCCTTCTTTCTTTGCGTGCACATTTGGACCGCATTATGCTAATATTTCCACATAGTGAGGTAGATATGTGGGGGCGTGTTAGAACGAGCCGTTTTAGGGGGGCGTGGCAGAGTCTTAACTTTGATAAAGAATATCTCTTTGGTTTTGAGACTTTAGTCTTTGCAACTTCAGGGATCTTATCTATGCACAATCAGCTTGTAACACTCCAAAGAGAAAGAAAAACTTGAAATCACATCTTATGACCCCTTTAAAAAATCGTTTGTTCAAAAGAAAAAATATATATATTCTGAATTCGGATTAGATCACAAAATCCAATCTTGGTTTTGATCTGGATTAAATCCTCAGTTTGTGTTGTTCAAAACGTTTTAGTAAGATTGGGAAACTTTTGATTAAAAAAAACAAAAAAACAGCTGGATTATTCTGATCCCAGCAGAAGAGTAGATTTCAGGAACAAAACTGGTCCAAAAAATACAACATTTGTAACATGTAATATATCCCCAAACAGCTGTCAATATCAAACAAAAATATATTTAAAGTTTTTTATTTATCACCAGTGTTTGGGGGTAACTCATTACAAGTAACGTGAGTTACGTAATCAGATTACTTTTTTCAAGTAACTAGTAAAGTAACGCATTACGTTTTTAATGTACAAGAAAATATCTGAGTTACTTTTTCAAAAAATTAACGCCAGTTACTTTGTTTTCCCATGTATTGACCGACAGCTCTCCTGTCCCCATACTGGGAGAAATCGGGAGTGCAGAGGTGTTGTGTGCGCTGTGTGAACATGATGTTACTGTAGTTCTAGACTAAATGTGAATGTGCATTAATTCATCCCACTCACAAAAAACAGATTTAGTATTCATCAAAATGAATTAAAACAGTGAAATGCAAACTCTGAATATGACGCAAACCTGCAATAATTAAATATGTTAAATAACACAAATGTATCTAATCCCATTTTATTAACCAATGTCTTTGCTGCTGACCTTTGCTGATCCAGTTCAACCATGCTAATAAGCAAAAATAACTTTAGAGAAACTAACAACTGTGCTTTGTTTTTTTATTGCTGAAGAGTGTTTCTTCTCCTGCGTTCTACTGTACAGACGTGAATTTACTTGTGCTTCAGCCTGAGGTTTATTCATTACACGTTTTGGTGTGAAAGGACTTTTATATTTGCTATAAATAGAACTTCTTATATTAAAAACAATCAAGCCCTGCTTATATTTAAAAAAGTAACGCGAAAGTAACGCGAAAGTAACGTAACGCATTACTTTCCATAAAAAGTAACTAAGTAATGTAATTAGTTACTTTTTTAGGGAGTAACGCAATATTGTAATGCATTACTTTTAAAAGTAACTTTCCCCAACACTGGTTATCACTGATTGTAAACTACATCAATCATCAGAGACGGACCAGTCAGAATTGTGTAAACGCAATGCAAAACCAGATTTAACTTTTTGAACAACTTGCCCCTGGTGATTTGACTTTTTTTTTAAATCACACATTTCATTTAGTATTCAACACAGGTTGAACATTTACTGAGTACGCAGCTCTCCAGAAGAGGCAAAAAAAATCGACCATTTTCTTTTAGTTAATCAATGTCCATTTCGTTCCTATTGTAAGGGTTTCTGATAAACGACACTTCCTCCATCAGGTCTGTAAATCTAGAGAGATTTGGAGTCATTCACTCTTATCAAGAATCACTGACCTCTGTCACTCAAACTGGAATGATTAGCTCTTCTTGTGCAATGTGTTTTGAAGCAGTTAAACTGTAAACCGAACATACATTTTGTAGCACGCTATAAATCACAGGCATATTGAGATACATTTGACGTTTTAGCAAATATAAAGCATAAAGTCTGTGACTGTAAACATGTCAAGGTAGCTGATTAGGAAGAGGAGGAAGAAATGAGGACTTAACAGTCTGACAACAAATGACATAAAACAGGTTATGAATTTCTCAACACTTTTCTATTCCAAGGACTGACGTCTATTTTTGTTACATGACAGTCACATTAAAACGATCTAAACCTGTCAAAAATGGTCTTGGGAACAATTCAATCTTTTAATATGAAAAATCATATAGAAGTGTTATTTAATCTGTAAAACACATATTATTACTTTTGTTTTTTTGAAGTGTCATTTCCACCACAACCAGCAATTTTCCCACTAGCTAAACTTTATCAAATGTTAGAGCTTTAGATGACATATGAGACATCATGTGCAAAAAAATAAACAATAAAACAATGTGATATAATTTTATACCCACGTGTTGGACATTTCTACACCCTTAAAAATAAAGGTTATTTTTTTGCCATTGTTTCTATAAAGAATCTTTCATGTCCATGGAACCTCTCCAATGGACAAACGATTCTTTATAGTGGACAAAGGCTCTTTATATTTTTTTTAAATGTTCACACTAAAAAAAAAAAGGTTCTAAGAATTTTTTACTGAAAATGGTTTTTCCATGGCATCACTGCTAAAAACTCCCTTTTGGAATCATTATTTTTAAATGTAGTGGACAAATTTAGTTGTTAGTTGACGAAACACCTTATAGGGTTAGTTCACCCAAAAATTTTAATTCTGTCATTAATTACTCACCCTCGTGTTGTTCCAAACCCGTAAGACCTTCGTTCATCTTTGGAACACAAATTAAGATATTTTTGATGAAATCTGAGGGCTCTTTGTCCCTCCCATAGACTGCAAGGTAACTACCACATTCAAGGTCAGGAAAAGTATCAAGATGATCGACAAAGTAGTCCGTGTGACATCAGTGGTTCAGCTGTAAAGTTACGAAGCTACGAGAATACTTTTTTGCGCAAAGAAAACAAAAATAACTACTTTATAATGCGCGTCCACAAGTGACGCAGTAGAGACGAAAATGTGGAATAAAGTCGTTATTTTTGTTTTCTTTGCGCAAAAAAGTATTCTTGTAGCTTCACAGCTGAACCACTGATGTCACACGGACTACTTTGTCAATCATCTTGGTACTTTTCTGGACCTTGAACGTGGTAGTTACCTTGCCGTCTATGGGAGGGTCAGATGGTGCGTTCAAGTCATGTTGGATAGATCGTATTTACGAGTTGAACGCACATGAACGCCACCACAAAGTCGTTATTACAAGTGGGAAACTCTACATTTTCTTTAAGCCCCGAGTTTCCGAGTTGCGGGCGTGTCAATGAGAAACATGGCGGAATTGATGGATGCAACGTCTGTAGTTGACGGTAAATTTTTGTTTAAATTGATAGTTTAGTTGTCCTATAAACTTAAATTGGTCATGTTCTTGTTACGCAGCTAGTTAATGAAATCCAAGTAAAAAAAATGCAGACCCTGTTGTATTTTCTTGTAATTTATTAAAAGAAGGTACATCGCCATCTTGTGCCGACTAAACTGACTTGAACGCACCTGACGTCGTAATTACGACTTGTCAACTCGTAAGTATGAACGTCCCAGGAGGACTTGAACGCAGCAAGAGAGCCCTCATATTTCATCAAAAATATCTTATATTGTGTTCCGAAGATGAACGAAGGTCTTACGGGTTTGGAACAACACGAGGGGGAGTAATTAATGACAGAATGTTCATTTTTGGGTGAACTAAGCCTTTAAGTACAAATGAGATCACAAATGTGATCATGTCATAACTGTAATATAAAAGTTTGCAGTCAGTGATAGAACATTTCCTGATCTCATCCTTGCAGATAAAGAATGTCTTCACTGTGGTGTCAAAGACAATTTTATTAACTTTTTTACAATCTGTTTGAGGCCCGAGAGACCTTAGTAGTTTAAAACTACAATCAGGTTTTATTCATACTCTGATCAGACCCATGATATAAAACATGAATAAATGCAATTATCATTACGATGGTCACCAGAAACTACGGTTTAAAGTTAAATGTCTTCATGATGGATTTGTTTTTTTTTTACAAACGCGCAGCTTTTTACTTCGCAAGACATTAACTGATGGACTGGAGTGGTGTGGATTACTTGTGATGTTTTTATCAGCTGTTTGGACTCTCATTCTGACGGCACCCATTCACTGCAGAGCATCCACTGGTGAGCAAGTGATGCAATGCTACATTTCTCCAAATCTGATGAAGAAACAAACTCATCTACATATTGGATTGCCTGAGGGCGAGTATATTTTCAGCTAATTTTCATTTTAGATTGAACTATTCCTTTAAACCTTTCTATAATTACTGTCTGATGGGTTTTGATTGACATTTTAAAAAAATGTAAAGGGGAAAATAACAGGTTGATTGTTTTTTTTACAAATACAACACTGGAGTCAACCGAACAGAACAGAGGGTTAAGATGAAAATAGAATATTTCAATAATTCAGACATTGGTTCCCATGCCATTGCAGTTTCAAAGATAAACACAAGAGGGTGACAGCAGACTACAGTGTCCGCTGAAATAAAACTCATTCTGGATCATCCAGAACAGTGTTTCCCAGATTCTGTTCAGTTATAAATGATGAAAAAAACACTGTTATTTCCAAAACACAACACGACAAACATCAAGTTTGACTGTTTTTATTTCGTTTGATCATTTTCTCCAACCCAAAGACAATAACACACAGCATAAGTCTAAAATATCCCATGTCATTTTCATCCATCATCATGAACTCAGTCCAACACTCGTTCCTCGAGGACATGGGACTGCGATTCAGTTCAGCATGTCAGACTCATTGGGCTCGTCCTCCCCTCCAGCACAAGTTCAGATGTGTTGAACAGCAAGTGTGAAATATCTGAGAAGGGGGCACATGTATAGATACACTCAAAAAACAACCGATACCTTTACAGATTACAACGGGATTCTGATGGAGAAGGCAATCGTCCAAGCATGTGATACAAAGTCCACCTGGTCAAGCAGTTACACCCAGTCCCCCTGACTGACCGAAAGAAAATCTGCTTCTCAATGAAGATTAATTGAAGATTCAACAGTATATTTCCAAATGTACAAAGGTCTGTGCATGTATCGCAAGATATAGTGAATAGTGGTGACTTGAGAATTCGAACTTAGCTTGCATTACTTCAGGATGTTTACATAAAGAGTAGAAATGACAATATTTACATTGTTTTTTCACATGCAGCTGAAAAAAAAAATTGTTTGGTGTTGGGAAACCTGCTGAAAGATTCGGCAAATTCAGATGGTTGTTTTGAGCTCTTCAGCGCGCAATGGTCTTAGTGTAAAAAGCTGCAGATTCAGAAAGAGGCATCGAAACATTCAGTGACGAGACCGTGTTCTCACACCAGGGATATTTCACTTTTCCCGACAGCATTTTATATGAAGTTTTGCCTCAACTCAAAGTGCTTCAAAAAAAAAACAAAAAAAAAGAGACCGTTTGGGAATATGCATGAGCCTTAACTGCATGGAAATATCAGTAAAGGTGGTTTATGGGAAAACTGTAACTATAAACTTTGGTTTTTAAGCTTTCCTCAATGTAGCAATGTTACTATAAAGGGGCCTGAAGATACACTCTTAAAAATAAAGATGCTTCAAAAGGTTCTTCACAGCGATGCCATAGATAGAAGAACCATTTTTGGTTCCACAAAGAACCCTTTAGTCAAAGGTTCTTTAAAGAATCATCTTTCTTATCTTTTTATAATCTGAAGAACCTTCTTTCGCCATTTTTTGTGAAACAAAGTTTCTTCAGATGTTAAAGGTTCTTTATGGAACTATTTAGACAAAGTTTCTTCTATGGTATCGTGAAGCACCTTTATTTTTAAGAGTGTAGTTCTTGTCAAACCTGTATGACGTTCGTCTGTGGAACACAAATTATATTGAAACGTCTCCATATAATGGAAATCAATGGAGTCTAGTCTGGATTTGGACAGTTTACACATTCTTCAAAATATATTCTTTTGTGTTCCACAGAGGTCATTCATTCATGCAGGTTTGGAGTAACATGAGAGTGAGTAAATGAGAGTTTTATTTATCTTTAAATTGCATTATGTAAAACTGGGAGTACTTAAGGGGGAAATCAGCTGCAGGCCATCAAATTGAAAGAAAAAATGATATCTGTGTGCATAAGCAGCATTTAATTTGTTCAGTAGTACACGACTGCGATCCACCGCACATCTAGTCAAAACAAAGCCAACTGAAGATCATGTGCACATTATTACACCCCTAACTGAACGTCATAGGTCTTCAAATGGGATTTTTATTTGATTTGATCGGTTTGATGCGTTTTACAATTATATACAATATACAGGCAGCACATAGTACATTTTCTTTCCAACAAACAAATCAATCAATCAATCAATCAAGCAGGGAAGTTGTTAAATTAGACTACTTTCTGAGAGAGCTTCAAACATTATACACTGTGCAGTACTGGAAGCAAGTCTTAGAAAACGGGATCTTAAAAAGGGATGAAAAGAAACCGCTGATGCATCTTAACAGCCCTCAGTATGTACAGAAGAAGCCAAGAAATGGAAAGAATCGCCACAAAACACAAAGAGGCTAATAGAATGAGAAGTCTTTTTTTTTTTTCTCCATATACATAACATTGCTAAAAATATTTCCCAAGCCCAAAGAACATCTCTTGATTTGGTTACCAGACTTCAGTGTGGCACAACCAATGTAATTACGCAAAGTGATGAAGGAAACAGAGCAGCGAGAGATGACGTGAGGATACGGACGCGAAGTGAGCATTTCCATGACTTGATGAAACAATCATTAGTGCTCTTCCGAGCCGACAAAGACAAAACAAGACGACAATGTGAGGTATATTCATGTTAATGTTGTGAACTGCCTTTGGAAGCTGCAAGAAGAGACACTAACGTGAGACGAGAACTCGAGTGAAATGACAGCAAAACAAAAAGGTCCTCTACTCTTCAGACATCACGCTCTTGCTCTTCCTGTAACTATAACCGTTCTTCTCTCAGGGCTTTCTTTTTAACTGGTTATGACAAAGGCACATTGCTTTAGTTCAGGCAATATTTCCATACTTCAAAATCACTGCAGAAAGTCAAACAAAAGAAAACAAAAAAAAAGTCCATTCAGTGCATATTACTACATTCATGAAGGCATTATATATTCATAGTCTATATTTACAGCATCTACGCTGACCATAACCTCATTATACATCGCCGGACCTCTAGTTGTGCTAATTCAGTGAGAAATCAATTTGAATTTCAAGATCACGCTCTTTAACTACAATACATTTTTAATAGATTTCAATTCTTAAGGATTGCGCTAAAACTTCTTTAGTGTAGGCTATTTTCAATCTATATAAATGTAGCTTACGATTAAAAAAAAACAATACAAGAACACACCATTTGTGATGAGTAGAGGCGGCAAACAAAACAACAAAATGCCAAATGAAGGGTTTTGGGGAAAAGTGTCTAGATTTTTATGATGCAAAATTATTGGGTGATGTAATCCGCGCCAGCAGTAACAAGCAACACCCTCTCTCTCTCGGCCACCTCAAAAAGAGACGCTCCAGTGTCATTGTCGATGACATTTATACGACCTCGGCCAGGTCTTGTACAGGAGAGCCTTTGTGAGTGTATGTCAGCTTGACCCGCATTCGCAACGGTTGCTGTAATAAAAGAGGAGGTCAGGTACACACTTAAGACAAAATTTCTTAAAATATGTGTTCAGATGTTTCTCCATAAAATGTAGTCATTAATTGCTATAAATGTAAGCATTACTGCTGGCAAACTAGGGCTACATAACATAGATTGAGATTTCTCTGATTTAAAATGTGAAAGGTTTGCCGTGCGTGTTTGTAGAGCTGCACAATTTGGCAAAAGCTAAAAAAAAAAAGATTTTATATTAATATGACCATATAATAATAATATTATTAAAAATATTATAGATTTAAAATAAGTACTACTATTGTAATATGCAAAAATAAACTAATATATGCAAAATAAAATCAAGTAAATAAAATCAAATAAATTATTATTATTACAATGTAACACTAAATGACAATAAAATGTATGGTTATCTTAATTTCTTCATTCACACAGTGCATATATATATATATAAATCAAGCATTTGCAACTATTTGCACTAAGCCATATTGCAATTCTGTTTTTTTCCAAGAAAAAATGCTTGCATTTTAAATCATTAGCCAGGTTAACCAACTAGAGTTCTCCGTAAACAGTACTACTAGAGGGGAAAGAACAAACCTTTGGTACTGCAGCCTGGAACACAAATTCTGTCATGTCAGCCTCGGTGGAGTTGGTGGCGTGGATGGTAATAACTGCAATATTGGGGTTGGGGTTGGACCTCTCGAATGTGAACTCAATTTTCAGACCGTTTTTGTTGTACGCCGTCATTGGCGGAATGACTGCAAGAAGAAACCGATATTATAATTGCATTGTCCTATTCTACATTAACCACTATGATGAAATTGAATGCAAGCTCACCCGCTGCAATGTCATTGAAGAGGGGTTGCGAGGTGAGGCCGTCCAAAAGGAAAGGGGGCTGGGACATGGGCACAGAGGGAGCAGGGGTGGGGGTCGGACCACCTAAGGAGGGAGAAGGCACAACGGTATGAGCAGGGCTTCACCCAAAAATGAAAATTACCAGTGAAAAAAGTCATTCGGGTTTGGACTGCAATGAGGATAAGTAAATAACAGTATTTTTGTTTTTGGGTGAACTACTTTTAAAACGGTAGATGTGTTTACATGCACTGATTGGAACAAATCTAATCCAATTTCAGATTTCTGTTATATGAACCCTAAACACTGCAATACGATTCACATTTGTTTGCATGTGCATTACCATATTCTAAAAATAATTGCAGCATTCGTAAATTGTAAAACGTAAGAAAACAAATGCATCATAGTGCAGTGCACTAGGTACTTCTGAATCTGCTGTCAGATTCACATGCTTTGTTTTTTTTCCCTGTTGATCAGAATATTTCAGCACTCATCTGATCAATTTCATTCAGAACACGCTCAATCACAACGACTGAGGAGTTTACATGAAGGCTTTTCAATCCGATTGAGCCATCGATCCCATTTTAAACAGGTTATTTAGGTGCACGTAAACTTAGCTACAGTAAAATTGGTCAGTGCTCAAAACATGGGGACACAGGAATGGCAGAATGTGAATTCGCTACAGAGCAGCAGAGGTGTGCAGCAGGCTGACCTGTCAGAGAAAGGTCTCCCAGCAGATCCAGCAGTTCTCCTCCAGCTGACGCAGGCTTTGTGGGAACGGTTGTTTGGATAACAGGTACCACATCATTACCTCCAAGTAGGTCTAATAAATCATTTGCCTGTAAAACAGGAAACACAGACCATTAGCATACAGTAAATATTTCACCACCGCTAAATATCTGCTCAACCATACCAGAGAGGTTTTTTTCATTACTCTAACAGAGGTTCTCAATCTATTATTACAGACTCCAAAGCACCATACATTTTGGACGTCTCCCTTACCTAGTACACCTGATTCAGCTCGTTAGATCAGATTCATTAGTAGAGCTCTCACTGAACTAAACTGCCACTGTGTTCAAATTACCAAACTGTAGCATAAAAAAAAAGTACACTATTTGACTAGATGAGGTATGCAGAATAAATGCATTCCCAGACACTACATTCACCATATTGACAGCTTTCTGACCGCATGTTCTTTGACCCATAACATGCTAATCACCATGAAAATAATTTACTCAGCTATTGTTCAAGCAGCACAATTCAACCTTGAGGAATGGCTTCTTGGTGCCTAAAATACTTAGGTTAGAGCTGTCCCGCTCATAGTCCTCTGCCTTTTATTTTTTTCTAACCTGACGGCACAGTATCGCCCATGGCATCATGAAATTGCCATACTGAGTTTAACTGATGAAAATGAGGCGGTGAGGGATAGACTGACTTACAAGTGACAACTTTCAAACCTTAGGGAATTTTTGTCTATGGAAGTATTTGGGAAAGAAGTTACTTCAGCTGATCAATCGGTAATGTTGTTAAATGACAGTACAATCCTTAGAACACACTGTACTTCTAGCAAAGTATTGATGTGTCATGTATACTGGATTTTTGACACCCTGTTTTTTGCATAATGTCTTATGAGGGAAATACTTACATTTAGAGGCTGAATACACCGTCAGATTATTGAGATGCCTAAAATGTGCACAGGTTTGGATTGAGAAACCATGCTCTAGAAACCCACCTGACTGGCTGGTTGAGTGATGCTGGGCAGATGTTTTGTGTCCAGTATGGTTGATTCTGTTTCTCCATTGGTCTGGACAATCTCTGCTGGGCCGTTAGTGCCTGTTTTCTCCATAATAGGCATTCGCTCTAGTAATGCAGGTCTTCATGGGAAAGAGGAAGAAAGAGAGTGAGGATAATAAACTTAAGTGTGACAAACATGAGTCTGGAACAGTAGGTGAGCTCTTACCTCATGTGATCATATTTTTTGAAAAGTGCATTATATTCCACAGCTCTCTGCTGCAGCTCCACATCTATGCTGCTGCCGTATATCGACACCACTTTTTTGATTCGACTGCAGAGCAAATGAAAATAAATTAAAAGATCAGGGCCTCATCCGTTTGGGTACACAAGCTCATTTCAAGAAAATACATCCTCATGTGACTCAGAACAGGCATGCTTACTTCAGGCTGCTGAAACGGGTGGACAGCTTCATGATAGCAGTCAGGGAATAACCTCTCGTTACAGGGGTGGACAAGTTAGAAACGAGGAGACCTTCTAAAACATCCAGGACCTCATCTTCAGAAACCTGAAAGATGAAATCGGATACAATTGTTCTGCCTTTAAAATAAGTGTGTGTGTGGTTTGACGGCCATACAGGTCATTTACCTGAATGGGTTCCTCCTCCTCACACTGGCCTGAGACCAGCAGGTCTCCATACTCTCCTATGCACCAGGATGCCACCTGTACTAGAGGTTGCTACAGGAAGAAAAGTTTGAGTTAGTTCACACAAGACATAATTCTGTTGACATTTAGTCATCCAAATGTCATTCCAAACATTCTTTGAATGGGGTATGATGCATTCAGGGTCCAAATATAGTATACGTTCTACTCTGTTGCTCACACAAAGCTATTTTATGACTGCAGAAGACTTGGAACGTAGGCACACAAGTTGCATGAACTTTTTTCACCAGTTCTCGGTCATTATCATCAAATTGGAGAGCAGCATCTGTCACTATTTACTTTCATACAGTGAATGGAAAAGAGCAGAATGAACATTCTTTTCAAACATCTCCTTTTGCATTTGAACGAAGCCCAATCGGTCACATGGGTTTGGAACAACAACATGCTAATTTTCAGTTTTGGCGGATTCATTTTATTGTATGAAACTAACAGATGACAAGTTTTGCACTTTGGGTTTACAAGTCCAGTGAAGAGAAAACAGTGTTAAGATGTTTCTAACCTGAGAGATGTCATCCAGGAGGGCTTTGTAGAGTCTCTGTACAGTGTAGGCATGCATCTCTACACTATTTGTGATGAGCTGGATGAGGTTGGGCACAGAGTCATCTCGGACATAACTCCCTGCCTACAAGAGCAGATACAACAAAACAGGTACATCAGAAGGGCATTTTAAACCCCTTTGCCACCAAAAGGGTGCGGTTTTGTGCATTTCCACCCAAAGAAAAAACGTTACAACACTTTGGCTTTTAACCAGGAACTGCTAACAATTAATTGCTACTCAATCTGGAAAGACCACTGCAAAACTACATTGAATTAAATTATTGCGGATGTTAAAATGTCCTCAAGACTTGTGTTTATTTGTGGGAAGGTTATATCATCATTTGGCTCAAGTTAGTAGAAATGCAAACTGAAAGATATCTGCAGATCCCTGGCCAAGCACTGGCTTTAGCAGGAGCACAACACCATTTTGGTGGAACAAGGGCATTAAATGACATACAAAACTAAAAACACACATCACCAAGACTTAAGATTAAGAAATGCTCTCAGAGAAAATAGGATCATTCTTCACATTCTATACTCAATATTAAGAGTTCATCAGCAACCGTTACAAAACAGTCTATTCCAAAGTGTACTTTAAATTTACATCACGTGATAAATAATCATGAATGTGATCTAATTTAATGGCAGGAGTAAAGCAGATTATTAGTAAGAAAGAATGAAAGCAAGACATTTACCGTTGTCAAAACCCTCATAATGGTGTCTATGTGCCATCTTTTGGAGGGTGCATACCTGCAATAAAAAAATTTAAAAAAGTGTTAGATATATATGTGCAAACCAGCAGTCTAAAGCTTACAAAATATAAAACCAAGCCACCAAGGCAAAAAGCATCAAACGAAGTAAAACTCTTTAAAACACTCTTAACCAAATCCCTTTTAGTGCTGTCAGATATAAAGGTGTCAACAGAATGAGCTTCTGCCGATGGATCACTCATTTTATCATCACACAGCCACGAGCTGCTCTACTTGAACAGCTCTTTATTTTTTCATGGGCTTGCTTATTGAATTTGATCAGATTCACTTAACTAGGCTTTTACACTATTTTAACTCTAATAAGAGACTGCAGGCTTTCATAAGGGCTGCAAGGACGTACAACATTACTGCTGTGAATATGGAAATCATTGGTGCTTCCTCTCGCATGATTTCTGCACAACATGATTTGCATGATTTCACAATAAACAGCCTTACTTCTCAGCAGCCAGGAAGATCCCTGATGCGCAGTCCGCTTTGAAATCAGGGTCACAGGAGTCCAGGAAATACAGAAGCTCTTTCATCATGCCCCGGATGTTGTTGCCGTTAACCAGGGCAAAACTCAGCTCCATCGCACGCCTGTGAAAAGGACAAGCGTAATCAGTGGGACTCATCCTCTTATGCTATACGTGATATATAAATCCATCCATGAATTACCTTTTAATGGACACATCAAGGTCTTTCAAGCAGTCCACAATAGTGCTTCGATGTCTCTGCACAGCATTGTGGTCTGTCTGCACAGTCTTCAGTAGAGAGGTCAATGCCACATATCTGATTAGGGAGAGTAATAATGTCAAAGCCCTATCATTTTGAAAATCAAGTCTAGAGTGGACAGCACATGAGCTATTTCAGTCCACAGTAAAGCTGATGTCAGAAACAATGAGGTCAACATTTGAAACACTCAGTCGATGGATCACTCAAGGTCTTCATCACTGAACAGCATTAAACTGCTTCTCGCTGGTCACTTCATGAACATCACATACCTGATGTTTTTGTCATTGTTGAGAAGAAAACGTCCCAGAATGTTAATTGCTAAAACCTGTAATAACATAAACAACAGCATTTTCAAACACTTTCTGCACACACCTTTGAACCACTCACACAGCACTGCCAATCTGCGTAACACTCACTCTTAGTCCACTCTCTGATTTGATGTCCATAATAGTAAGAACCGTTTCGTAGAGGATAGCATTGCCTACATTTTTACTCGTCTCTGTGTTTGTTGCAACCTATTAAAAATAATTTGATGTGAAATCTTTAGAAGGTACAAAGGAAAGTTACGTGGTTATAAAGTAGATCTAATCAGACTGCTTACCTGTGCAAGAATGTCATTCATAGCTTCACTAGAATCATCATCACCCTTTCCCAGAATTCTCAGTAGCCTCAATATCCGCACCTTAAAAATGCCAAGAGACACAGTGTGGCCCAGAGGAGCTCATCAGATTGCTTTAGGGTATAAAGAACAGGCATATCACCTCATATGGGCACAATGGATTGCAAACTTAAGGACCACTCTAAAAATCAATTTCTTGCATCGGACCCAAAAAAATTACATGAGGTACATTACGAAATTGAATTCACATCGACTGCAACATTAATAGTGCTGTAAGAGATTTTATTTTATGGAATGGCACTCTATTGCATGACATATCATTGAAAATGGTGTCCTAAAATAATGTCTCTGTGACAACCCTAAGTGTAGTAAAAGGGGCTGAGCCAATCAAAAGAAAAAATGAAAGGCACTTTCTGCCTCATTTTGCATGTTCATAGATCAGTCCATATAATGGAAGCAGGAAGCTGATCACACGTTGAGATGAATCATTTAAATAAAGCGCAGAGCAATTTTGAGTTTGTCATGGGAGAGTGCAATTTTGCTACCACTGCAAAACTACAACTGGAATAAACGTTATCTTTGCAGCCCTAGTTTTAGAAAAAGGAGTCGCGTGTCTAATTCAATAACAAAACAGAAGAGCCAACATCACTTAGGGGACTTTCAAATAGAGCAACACTGACAGGAGATGATGTGTCTTTACCTGCAGGAAAGGGTCACTGATGCCAGACACATCGTGCTCAGGGGAGTAGCCTGACATGATCAGGTTCTTCAGGATTCGTACAAGTTGTGGAACCAGCTAAAAAAAAACAGTGGGAGAAGAAATGAAAGACTATCAGCAGGGTTACAGCAGGGTCATAGAGATTTCAAAACAGGACAGCACATAAAAAGGGTCAGTAAGTGTCAATACACGTAGGCACCCCGAGTTGATCATCTTCCAATAGACTGGTTTCACTACACATTAAGACATGGAGATCATGTCAGTGGTGTTTTTTGTTTGTTTGCCATTTTTCTATGTGTATTAACATGACCCTTATTAATTTGGCAAAAGTCTCCATTTCATATGTGCCCCCACTTTAATGTACATATTGGAAAAACCACAACCCAATAGTGACCGTATGAAAGAGAAATTAATCTAAAGGTAAACGCAGGACAAGTGAAAATATATATGAGGTCTACGTAATCCTGAATAAAAACTAAAGAAAACACTTAAATGACAACAATTGCAAAATAAACAGTACATCAAAACCAAAAATTGGACTACATCTACAGTGACCATGATGAGACTTTTTTTTGGTTTGTTTTCTTTAAGCATGCACCAGCTATGAAACCAGAATGTCCTCTTACCTTCTCATTCTAACACAATGCAGGAATTGTAACGAAGACAAATGACAGAAAAAATATGAAGTAGATGTTAGGGGGCAATTGGAAAAAAGTCACTTTCAGAGAATAGCTTAACATAATGCTACGGTTATGAGCATGAGAGGTGGGCGTGCTGGCACAGTAGATCAGGCTGGGGGTGGGAAGAGTAGAAGCAGATACACAGAGAGGAAGAACCCGTATTCATCTCCCAGTGAGATACCTACACCTGCAGCTAAATCCAGGACAAGCATCCAGATTTCAGTAAGGACTACAGTCTCATTTCAGTAGTCATGTTAACGCTATCAGCAACAGATAAGAGTGCTTTTGTGTCAGAGTGGCTGATGTGGTGCATAAACCGTTTTAGAGGTGACTGCTGAAGGTCAAGGCATGAACGCTTGCTACGTACCTTCCTGAAGTGAGAGAGCATGTCAGGACTTCGCTCACACATTTCAGTGAGCAGGACAACAGATGTGTGGAGAACTCCTGCAGAAAATACAGAACAATACACCGATTTCCTTATATAACTCGTGAGCAGGTTTGTTCACATTAGGAAAATGAACCAACCAATTTTCTCCTGTTGCTGCTGAATGTGAAAGACTGCTTTAAATCTGAACTAAAGTTTTTTAATGCTTAACGAGGGACTGACAGTAATTTTACATGAGTGTCAACTTCACATTTGAAAATTTTTGCTTAATTTGATATGATACACTCGTGAGCAGGTTTGTTCACATTAGGAAAATGAACCAACCAATTTTCTCCTGTTGCTGCTGAATGTGAAAGACTGCTTTAAATCTGAACATATTAAAAAAGCTAAAGTTTTTTTAATGCTTAACGAGGGACTGACAGTAATTTTACATGAGTGTCAACTTCACATTTGAAAATTTTTGCTTAATTTGATATGATAGAGATTTCTGTAATTTTGTCTTATTTTGTTTATGGAGGATGATGACCTTTTTTTTTTTTTGATAACAGAAAAGTAGATTGAGGAGAGGGGGGGGGGGGAATCAATAAGTAACAAAAAATATAACTGATTACGCGGGCTCCCTCTAGTGGTACGCAGAGGAATCACTGACTTAAATATACATTAATGTTAAAACAGTGTTTCCCAGCCACTGTTGTCGGGTGTGCCGTGGAAAAGTATCAAAAACTTCCTTATCTCTATTACATTTCGTTATTATTTTAAATCAGTGCTACTGGTCATTGTTATGTCGGTTCTACAATATTTTAACCAATGAAAAGCATTCAAAAGAGCTTGTGACTAAACCTTGTAACGCCATTGGATCCTCAAACTGTCAGTCAAACCTCATAACTCCACCCCGCCTCCATTCAGAATGAAGCGCCGCCACACGCATTTGAAGACAGATGTCTACTTCTTCACAATGCAAGGGTAAATAAAGAACTGATGTTTGAATAAGTACAGCGTTTCTTTACTCAAGAATTGCTGTCTATAAAGGCTAATATTTTTGTGTGTATAAAGAACAGAGAAGAGTCTTGGCATTTGCTGTCTAGTTGTAGCCAATACACTTTTGTACGTTTTAAATATCATAGCTGTTCGTATTTTATAATGTGAGATTTTGGCCAAATGTATTAACAACAAGAGAAACGGAGTGTTTCTCAGTAAACTTTTATTTACCTGTATGTAAGCACAGTGCAGTGTTAATGTTCAAACTGTATTTACAATGGCAGACAATAACAAATATTCTTATTTGGAATAAAACGGACTCATTTTTTAACTGTGCATAGCTGTAGCTGTATAATTAGGCCTACTACGCTACTGTATTTTAATGTTGGTCATTATGGTGGTACTTGGTGTAAAAAGTTTGAGAACCACTGGCTTAGAACATTACATTAGAAAAAAAAAACCTTCAAGAAATTGCAAATTTTTCCCATTTAAGAAGTTGGCAGCATCCACCTTAAATCAAACTGTCAAAATGTAAAGTTTAATTTTTATTTATTTAACATGCATTAAGTTTTCAATATGTTAAGGCATATACGAGGAAAATGTTCTGCTTAGTAAGAACGATGCATCCGTTTATTAGTTTTTAATCAAAATAAAATGAGACCTATGGGAAAGGTTAAAGAGTGCAGCTCTCACCATGATTTTTCTCGCTGAGCAGGTTTTTTGTTGCTGGCAGGAACATCTCCATCAGCTCCGGGACTTTACGGATGACGTGAACCGCACACAGTGCTGCCTGAGGGCGAAGAGCTCATGTCAAAACCGTTCACACATTCAGAGCTCGACATCCAACTGGACATGAAGTCCACGTTCAGCTGTGAAGGAGTGTGAAATACCTTTTTCCTCAGATAGGAGTTTGACGTTTTGAGGAGTTTCTCCACTTCTCCAGCTAAGTCACGGCACATTTCGGATGAGCCCATGCAGCCCAGGGTGCATAAGGCTAGTCCTTGCACATACTGTGTACTGTGGTTCAAGTCACTGCAGAGAGAAGATTAGATGAAGATGCACAGCAATGCATACGATCATTTAAGGCAATGGTTGTCAATAGTTCAGACAAAAAAAAAATTCTACTTTTAAAATGGAGAAATTGAGGTAGCTTTCTGTATCTTTTGTTCATTTCAAAGGCTGTGCATCCAATCAAACACTATTATATTTGAGTGCAAATTAATCTAGGAAGAACTGACAGCAAAGCGACCAAAGTTATTCATTTTCAATGAGAGCTGGCAATTACATGCAACATTCCTTTAGTTCAAACAGTAGAGCATGTTGCTAGCAACACCAAGGCCATGGGTTTATTTCCCAGGGAATGCACAAACTGATAAAAATGTATATACTGAATGCAACGCAAGTTGCTTAAAATGCATTAAATATGGTTTTGTTCTGACCACAATTTGTCGTGAATTACTGGTTGTTGAGAGCATGAAAATCAAATTTAAGCAATGCTTAAGACACCACAATTGTTTCCTGTTCATTCATAATTTTGGTATGAGTCCTCAAGGAAAAATCAAGAGCCAATTACATCAACATGGGCACTGGTGTGCCTTTTTATTTTTTTTTAAGATATTAAGATCTGCAATAAGATGTTTGAGAGATACTAAATGGAACAAAGAAAGAGAGCAATTTAAGATGCCATCACACTCAGGAAGCAGATCCCCATCAACCTGCACTTTACACTCTCCACCTACAACGGTCACATTAAACTCCCACCAATCACACTTCATGGAATTGTTGAAACAAGATGAGATCCCTGCCTCACTCACTTCTTGATGCAGTTTGTCATTAAGAGATGAACGTCCTGCCTCTCGTCCAGAAGTAGCATGGCTCCCAGGTATCCTATCCGTTTGTCTGTGAATTTCTGTGATGCAATCAGTTTCAGGCACTCCAGCTGAAAATGAGATTTTGCCCATCAAACACTGCAAAATTCTGTCTGTTTAAAGTGAACAGCCCTTTTAAAGATTCCTGTAATTTCTGAAATACTGTTTTCTCACCTGGCCAAAGTGTGCCGGGTAGCCCAACATGTGCATATAAAGCAGCTTAGCCACATTTCTACAGCGGTATGTGTTGTCCTCTTCTCTAAAGGATGACCTAATGGCAGCACACTCTTTCTGGATCATCTCTCGCTCCTCGGCCTGGGTTCGAGCCGTCCGGATTGTCCGGATCAGCTCCCGCAGTCTGATCGGAGCTGGCATCCTCTGTAATGAAAGCACAGTGTCAGCCAGTGGAGTGTCACAGCAGTGCCAATATATCTGCCAAGACAAATGATGATTTATACAATGCTTGCATTTGCCAGAGCAACATAAGATCAAGTGAACATGAAACAAATTCACAGTTTTAAGTGGTAGTTTTTCTCAAATGAACCCGTGAAAAACTTGTGAAGTGACTTTCAGAGCAGCTCTGGAGATGAAGTTCATGTGCTGAAAACGTCAGAGTTCGTGAAGTAGACAAAACTACGCCACTCATTCACACAGAGATATGCAGAACATGTAGACTTATTAATGACATGCACTGACTGGACTGTTGTATTTTTTTCCTGCTGAGATCCGCTGTTAGATGAATCTATATCGACTAAAAATGTTCAGAGCTTCATCGTTGCTAGACATAAATTATACAATATATACAATACAATATCGTTTATTGCCCAGCACTAGTATATTTTATATATTACTAATATGATGTATAATGTATGTTTAAGATGTTGACAGGATGCAATGCCTGCAATACAGTTTTCACACTAAACTTAATCAAAATCTGAACATTTACTTCCACTCTGGAATGGCATTCCTTTTCTGATGACGTCAGTTTGACGGCTTGGGCAGAATATCCTTAAACACACCCTTAAACACTTAGATTGCTATGAGTGAGAGACAGAGGAGGAGCGCAAAAATAAAACCATGCCCTTCATTCAATACTCCGTTTCAGCTGGAAATACGTCACTACACTGAAATAAATTCGGCAGCAACTTCCGGTTCACGCGGACTTTAAGGCCAATTAGTTGACTAGACATTCAAGCAACGCACTAGCTGATTTTTTAAATATGCAGTTTTGTACATTCCCCATTCAATAAAAAAAATATTGAGGAAAGGAGAGTTCATTTCTTAGGCTACGTTCACACGAAGCCAGAGCTTTCCCTATCCAATCTTTTTTTCCCCCTCCTCTCAAGAAATATCTGCGTCCACATGAAACCACGAAACTGACACAAAACGATGTAGTATACATGCCAGACCAGCGTGTGGCGCTGTAATTCTGCCACAGAGATACACGTTTTCAGATTTATCCACTCTGGGACCCGGTTTAAAAAAAATATCGGTTTCACTCTCCCAAAACGCCGGATCTGTGTGGACGAAACGCCTATACGATACAAAATATCGTATTTATGCGTATACAGCTAAATGCGTCTCCATGTGGACGGGGCCTAAGTGCCTCTTCAGCTTACTTGGTACTATGTTACCATTAGCAAACCTCTCCATGCAGATGACATGCAGGCTAAAGGCAATTAGCAGCCCTGGCTTAACTTAAGCTGCAAACAAGAGTGTTCTTATAAACTTCTGGATGGGGGGGTATCTGCACAGGCAGCCTGCATACAATCACAATCAAAAAGGAAAGCAAAAATTGCAGAGAAATAACTGGTACATTATTTGCTTAAGTCAATTAAAATCGATTTACGATTTTGTAAGACATTAAAATTATGCAAGCAAAGTCCATTGAATAGGTTTGCTATACTGTTAAAAATAGTCAGTCAAAGGGTGTCATTCTGCTGGTACGTTGCATTTACCAATAAGAAACCCGGACCAGAAGGACCCATTGTATAACACAGGTAGTGATTTGACACAGTCAAGATGATTAATCAAGCTATAGGTCACCCAAAAACAAAATAAACAAAAAATCGACTTGCCCTCATGTAGTTTCAAACGTTGCGCACAAAAGAAAATAATTTGGAAAACATCTAATTATTTTCGGTCAACACAATGAAAGTTAATGGGGTCCAAAAACTTCTTCAAAATATATTTTATTTGTCACTGACAAAATGCAAACAGGCTTGAAACAACATGAGGGTGAGTAAATGACTGCATTTCTTTAATTTTGGGTGCACTAACACTTTAAGGCAATGTAGTAGAGTGATACCGCAGTACGAAATCTCACAACTACAGAGTTACTCAGAAAACCCTACTGCTTTGTACACTTAACAGCACATAAGGACATATCGCTCCTGGTGGACTTCCCCACTAATTAGTGCTGCTTTGGATAAAAAGTGTACTGTAAATCTATGAAGATAAAAGTAGTAGAATAAACCATCTGAAAGTTTAAGAGTGGGACTCTTATCAAAATATGCCTGCCATTGCAGAACTATGATAGAGCTACATTGAATTGGCTGCATTTTTCGTAGTTTGCACTGCACAGAGTAGATTAAATTAACGCCTACTCCTGGATATGATGCTGTTCAGATGGCTCAATCAAGGGAACAAGTGCGAGACAAGAAAGTGCTTCCTATTCCCGGTAAGGCTCCTGCCACTGAGCTACTCTCCCTGGTTTTAAAATGCAATGGCAGACTGCGTTCAAGACAGAGAAACACAAGATGGGTTTTCCACATCCAACGAGCTGGCATCCAAACACTGTGAACCATGGCCGTGTACAAGCAGATCATCAGCTTCATGACAGCTTGTGATTCAGCATCCAATATTGAGACATCAGTACTGCCATAACCTTTACAGTTGAACGAATGAGGAACTCCCCTTTACGACATTAAGAAAGCATGACTACACACACCTAGCCACTGAATCACGCGAGGCCGCATGATCCACCTTGACAGTGAAAGGAAGCATGCTATTCAACTACAATGTTCAGAAAGAAGCAGGACTGCTTTTCATACACACGCTCTTCCTCTTATAGCTCACTGCTTAGAAGACAGAAGAGGTACAATAGAGGGATTAAGGTGACCTTAGGTGGGGTAGCTTTATAGTTTAAAACAAGAATAGTTTCTCCAAGGTCAGCTTTACGTGACCATACCTCTCATTCCCAGATAATAAGAGCATTGTTGCACTGTGGGTCTCCTGCCAAAGGCATATAACTGCAAACTTCGGGGAGACTCTGGTAAACGGGTGATGTAGGGAGATCTGTTGCACTGGGGAAGCTATTCTGCTTTGAATAGACAGTTTAAAAGAAGAGTTTGCCGATACAATCTGACTCTACAATTTAATCTTTTTAGCTAAATGACACAAGAATGGACTAAAACTACAAAAGTGGCTGTTGTACAATAATATTTTACCATATCTGGGACAGTAACATGATAATCAAATCACTATGTAAATAAACACTAATAATGAGCCAGGTTACGATAATGGAAAACTAAACCGTTTTTCTTCATTTAAACTGTGGGCCTGAGAGAGTTACATTCAGGTATTAAAAGAAAATATCATGATCTCAGTGTCGACACACAGCGAGGATTTCTCTCACACCTGCCTCCAGAGAGACACGGCTGATCACATGGAAGCTGTGCTTAGCAACTAGGAAAAAAGCAAAAAAATGACAAAACCCCCTCAAGGAGATGACCTGGAGAACAAGTTTCATTAAGCAATGATGTAAACTAAATAGAAAAAGTCTCAGCAAATGAGATCAGAGAACAGGACATAGGCCTATGCCTAAGCATTTTAAATGCTCTACAAATAACAAAAACTAAGCTCCAGCAATAAGTAACTAGCCTTTTGTATTATGTCAGATGCCTTCACACAGTTCTTGGTATTCTGCCAGTTCGATGAAAGTCAAGTCTTCTTTCTTTGAGGAAAGGAGAGTTCATTTCTTAGGCTACGTTCACACGAAGCCAGAGCTTTCCCTATCCAATCTTTTTTTCCCCCTCCTCTCAAGAAATATCTGCGTCCACATGAAACCACGAAACTGACACAAAACGATGTAGTATACATGCCAGACCAGCGTGTGGCGCTGTAATTCTGCCACAGAGATACACGTTTTCAGATTTATCCACTCTGGGACCCGGTTTAAAAAAAATATCGGTTTCACTCTCCCAAAACGCCGGATCTGTGTGGACGAAACGCCTATACGATACAAAATATCGTATTTATGCGTATACAGCTAAATGCGTCTCCATGTGGACGGGGCCTAAGTGCCTCTTCAGCTTACTTGGTACTATGTTACCATTAGCAAACCTCTCCATGCAGATGACATGCAGGCTAAAGGCAATTAGCAGCCCTGGCTTAACTTAAGCTGCAAACAAGAGTGTTCTTATAAACTTCTGGATGGGGGGGTATCTGCACAGGCAGCCTGCATACAATCACAATCAAAAAGGAAAGCAAAAATTGCAGAGAAATAACTGGTACATTATTTGCTTAAGTCAATTAAAATCGATTTACGATTTTGTAAGACATTAAAATTATGCAAGCAAAGTCCATTGAATAGGTTTGCTATACTGTTAAAAATAGTCAGTCAAAGGGTGTCATTCTGCTGGTACGTTGCATTTACCAATAAGAAACCCGGACCAGAAGGACCCATTGTATAACACAGGTAGTGATTTGACACAGTCAAGATGATTAATCAAGCTATAGGTCACCCAAAAACAAAATAAACAAAAAATCGACTTGCCCTCATGTAGTTTCAAACGTTGCGCACAAAAGAAAATAATTTGGAAAACATCTAATTATTTTCGGTCAACACAATGAAAGTTAATGGGGTCCAAAAACTTCTTCAAAATATATTTTATTTGTCACTGACAAAATGCAAACAGGCTTGAAACAACATGAGGGTGAGTAAATGACTGCATTTCTTTAATTTTGGGTGCACTAACACTTTAAGGCAATGTAGTAGAGTGATACCGCAGTACGAAATCTCACAACTACAGAGTTACTCAGAAAACCCTACTGCTTTGTACACTTAACAGCACATAAGGACATATCGCTCCTGGTGGACTTCCCCACTAATTAGTGCTGCTTTGGATAAAAAGTGTACTGTAAATCTATGAAGATAAAAGTAGTAGAATAAACCATCTGAAAGTTTAAGAGTGGGACTCTTATCAAAATATGCCTGCCATTGCAGAACTATGATAGAGCTACATTGAATTGGCTGCATTTTTCGTAGTTTGCACTGCACAGAGTAGATTAAATTAACGCCTACTCCTGGATATGATGCTGTTCAGACGGCTCAATCAAGGGAACAAGTGCGAGACAAGAAAGTGCTTCCTATTCCCGGTAAGGCTCCTGCCACTGAGCTACTCTCCCTGGTTTTAAAATGCAATGGCAGACTGCGTTCAAGACAGAGAAACACAAGATGGGTTTTCCACATCCAACGAGCTGGCATCCAAACACTGTGAACCATGGCCGTGTACAAGCAGATCATCAGCTTCATGACAGCTTGTGATTCAGCATCCAATATTGAGACATCAGTACTGCCATAACCTTTACAGTTGAACGAATGAGGAACTCCCCTTTACGACATTAAGAAAGCATGACTACACACACCTAGCCACTGAATCACGCGAGGCCGCATGATCCACCTTGACAGTGAAAGGAAGCATGCTATTCAACTACAATGTTCAGAAAGAAGCAGGACTGCTTTTCATACACACGCTCTTCCTCTTATAGCTCACTGCTTAGAAGACAGAAGAGGTACAATAGAGGGATTAAGGTGACCTTAGGTGGGGTAGCTTTATAGTTTAAAACAAGAATAGTTTCTCCAAGGTCAGCTTTACGTGACCATACCTCTCATTCCCAGATAATAAGAGAATTGTTGCACTGTGGGTCTCCTGCCAAAGGCATATAACTGCAAACTTCGGGGAGACTCTGGTAAACGGGTGATGCAGGGAGATCTGTTGCACTGGGGAAGCTATTCTGCTTTGAATAGACAGTTTAAAAGAAGAGTTTGCCGATACAATCTGACTCTACAATTTAATCTTTTTAGCTAAATGACACAAGAATGGACTAAAACTACAAAAGTGGCTGTTGTACAATAATATTTTACCATATCTGGGACAGTAACATGATAATCAAATCACTATGTAAATAAACACTAATAATGAGCCAGGTTACGATAATGGAAAACTAAACCGTTTTTCTTCATTTAAACTGTGGGCCTGAGAGAGTTACATTCAGGTATTAAAAGAAAATATCATGATCTCAGTGTCGACACACAGCGAGGATTTCTCTCACACCTGCCTCCAGAGAGATCACATGGAAGCTGTGCTTAGCAACTAGGAAAAAAGCAAAAAAAATGACAAAACCCCCTCAAGGAGATGACCTGGAGAACAAGTTTCATTAAGCAATGATGTAAACTAAATAGAAAAAGTCTCAGCAAATGAGATCAGAGAACAGGACATAGGCCTATGCCTAAGCATTTTAAATGCTCTACAAATAACAAAAACTTCTTACCTTATTAGTCACAGTAATGATTAATCTAATAAGTATTAGATGAAGATGAATGTTTTACTAGAAGTAATGCACCATTTTTTTAATAAAACTAAAATTAAAGTTTTCATTTAGCAAAAAACCAAGTCAAAATAAAGTCAAATAAAGGGAATTGAACACTGTATGCTGTTCAGAGTGTCGTGTTCTCAGTCTTAGTGAACCAGATGCCTCATGATATTTCAGCTAAACAAATTCGACATATTAGCATAATATTTGGTCACAGTGAAGTGCATCCACACTGCTGATGTTTACCTGTTGTGGCTCATCCACATTGTGTGCACGAAATAGACGATGGCATAGTCAAAACATCATTGGAGAAGTGCTAACTGTTTCAGACAATGATTTCTGACCTCCAAAACCATTTCAGCTGAAACGCAAAATCCATATTTTCGCTGTTTTGGTTGAATATCTTAATTTCCTGACATTTCAGTGCATCACTTACTAGTTAAGTAATAAAGCACTAACAAATAATGAGTAGAAAAACCACCGCCAAAAACAGACAGCTCACTATTGGATTACTTTGTAGTAATAATAACAGTAAAAAAAAAAAAAAAAGTACTAGTAGCATCAATACTAGTAATATATCAATATAGGAGGACCGCCCCAGTAATTAGTATTGCTCTGCATAAAGGTGTACAATAAATTGATGGAAGATAAAAGCAGCAGGAGAATAAAAAGTTTAAGAGTGGAACAAAATTTGAGAAAGATACTATTTAGGTGTAAAGAACTGTTAAAACGACTTGCCTCAAAGTGTCCATCATTCACAGTAAAGAAAAAATGACCTGTCAACATTATAACCGAGATTTTCATCATATAGTGGGATGTTTAAGAGCAACAGTTCATAGATACAAGAAGATACTAAGACGTCTTTAGAGCCGATGTATGATGGAGAAATGAGCTGTGCTCATCTGAAGATCTACTGGAGCTGCCGTGGGTGTGCTCTGCATTTAAAGTTACAAAGCATTTAAAGAAATTATTTAAAATATCTGACTGATAAACTTATGCCTCGATTGGCCTCATTTATTTAATAACATGCTGCTAATAGTGACAAAACTTCCTGGTGTTATGGACATCATTATGATGCCGACACTACAGTTGCCCGAGTTTAGAGTACGGTTGTTCATTCAGATACAGATATTCAAGCAGATACTTTGTTACTTTGATACTCTGCTGAATGAACAAAACATTTCAAGACTCACACCTGTAAGCAAATGCTGCTGTCAGTCTCAAATAGTGACTGTGAACTCAGTCATTTGTACTGCTGATATATGCCTTTTAATTCCTGACACTTTGTGTGTTGGTAATTTTCTATATCAAGTATTTGTATGAGAAAATATTTGAATAAAGCATTAACAAAATTCCTGGCTGACGTTTCGCATTTATTGAAACTTCAAAAAGCTGAGTGAATATGCTTTCCATTGATGTATGGTTTGTTAGGATATGACAAAATTTGGCTGAGATGCAACTATTTGCAAATCTGGAATATGAGGGTGCAAAAAAAAAATGAAAATCTAAATATTGAGAAAATCGCCTTTAAAGTTGTCCAAATGAACTTCTTAGCAATGCATATTACTGATCAAAAATTAAGTTCTGATATATTTACGGTAGGAAGTTCACAAAGTATCTTCATGGAACATGATCTTTACTTAATATCCTAATGATTTTTGTCATTAAAGAAAATAGATAATCTTGACCCATACAGTGTATAGTTGGCTGTTGCAACAAACATACCCCAGCAACTTAAGACTGGTTTTGTGCTCCAGGGTCACATATGTTAATTGTAAGAAATTGCTAGATGAGTCAACTAATCGAAAAAAAATTATTGATTGAAAAAAAAGGTAGTTAGTTAGGCCTACAGCTTTAAACTAATTCCAGTGGTCAGAGAATGCAAATCTAAGCCAGGAATCATGCAAACTGCAGCAGGGACTGTGAGCACACGTTTACAGACGCTCACTTCCTTTATTTCTGTAACCTTACTCCACAATCACAAGGAAGAGATGCCAACTCGCCTTTCATACGTCCACCACAAACCAACAGGTGTAAAGACATGACAAACAGACACCATTTTAGCCAGCACTGATATATATATATAGAGGACTATACAGAGCACAACAACAAGAATGACTGAACATCTCCCTCGAAACCACCTGGTGACTAAACAAGCCTAAAACACACAAGTGGCATCACACACCTCTCATTCTTCACCTTTACCTCCACAACATTTCCTCATACACCACCTGGACTGTTGATTCTGTAGCATTAGGAGAGATTGTTAAAGGCTCTGAATGCTGTTTCTGGACCCATCCCCTTGCGCTATAACGTCAAGCCATTAGTGCTAAGCTAAATGATAAACAGTGAGATGGGTGGACGTTACGCTGTGGTAAAACACAAGTGCATTTCAGTTCTCTTCACGAGTATTAATACTCGTTTCTAAGCCCTTTGAATTGCAATAAATACCTCTGTTATTCCTCCGTAATGTCGGTGAATGAAGTGCTGCGTTGTGTCCGTTGCTAACTGACTGGAGTCTAGTCGGGCCTCAAATCGAGCGTCGATTTGACGGAGGATTAAACACACACCTCTACCTTAAACCCATTGAAACGTTCACAGTCTAACTGTGATTTCACGCCGCCCGTGGAAGTAACGTTACAGCTCGACTGATAGTTGAGCGCCCGTTAGCGCCCCAGCTTATGACAGCGTCCCGGTGCACAGGCTTTAGCATTAGCCTGTGCGCTCCACTATGCAGCCCAGCGTCAACGCGAATGAATTTGACAGCGCTTAACAGCGCCGAGCTCAACTGTCTTATACGAAGTCGTTTAGTCGTTTAGCTCCCACTCACCAGCCGTTATGATACCAGAAAACAAGCGCACTCTTCTCAATCGACGGAAGGAGGAACGGACCAGACATTCAAAATGGCGGCGGCCCCAGCCTCAGCACTTCTACCGCAGGCGGAGGGATACATGACTGATGGTCAGAGAACTTCAAATGCGGATGTAAGAAGGTGCGACCCGCTCTAGAATCTAGTAGTGATTGATGCTGTGAGCGTGTGTTTATGAGCAAACAAACATACCCCAGCAACTTAAGACTGGTTTTGTGCTCCAGGGTCACATATGTTAATTGTAAGAAATTGCTAGATGACTCAACTAATCGAAAAAAATTATTGATTGAAAAAAAAGGTAGTTAGTTAGGCCTACAGCTTTAAACTAATTCCAGTGGTCAGAGAATGCAAATCTAAGCCAGGAATCATGCAAACTGCAGCAGGGACTGTGAGCACACGTTTACAGACGCTCACTTCCTTTATTTCTGTAACCTTACTCCACAATCACAAGGAAGAGATGCCAACTCGCCTTTCATACGTCCACCACAAACCAACAGGTGTAAAGACATGACAAACAGACACCATTTTAGCCAGCACTGATATATATATATAGAGGACTATACAGAGCACAACAACAAGAATGACTGAACATCTCCCTCGAAACCACCTGGTGACTAAACAAGCCTAAAACACACAAGTGGCATCACACACCTCTCATTCTTCACCTTTACCTCCACAACATTTCCTCATACACCACCTGGACTGTTGATTCTGTAGCATTAGGAGAGATTGTTAAAGGCTCTGAATGCTGTTTCTGGACCCATCCCCTTGCGCTATAACGTCAAGCCATTAGTGCTAAGCTAAATGATAAACAGTGAGATGGGTGGACGTTACGCTGTGGTAAAACACAAGTGCATTTCAGTTCTCTTCACGAGTATTAATACTCGTTTCTAAGCCCTTTGAATTGCAATAAATACCTCTGTTATTCCTCCGTAATGTCGGTGAATGAAGTGCTGCGTTGTGTCCGTTGCTAACTGACTGGAGTCTAGTCGGGCCTCAAATCGAGCGTCGATTTGACGGAGGATTAAACACACACCTCTACCTTAAACCCATTGAAACGTTCACAGTCTAACTGTGATTTCACGCCGCCCGTGGAAGTAACGTTACAGCTCGACTGATAGTTGAGCGCCCGTTAGCGCCCCAGCTTATGACAGCGTCCCGGTGCACAGGCTTTAGCATTAGCCTGTGCGCTCCACTATGCAGCCCAGCGTCAACGCGAATGAATTTGACAGCGCTTAACAGCGCCGAGCTCAACTGTCTTATACGAAGTCGTTTAGTCGTTTAGCTCCCACTCACCAGCCGTTATGATACCAGAAAACAAGCGCACTCTTCTCAATCGACGGAAGGAGGAACGGACCAGACATTCAAAATGGCGGCGGCCCCAGCCTCAGCACTTCTACCGCAGGCGGAGGGATACATGACTGATGGTCAGAGAACTTCAAATGCGGATGTAAGAAGGTGCGACCCGCTCTAGAATCTAGTAGTGATTGATGCTGTGAGCTTGTGTTTATGAGCATCGCCAACATTTATTACCGCGTTCATGCGTTAAAAAGAGAATACGAGTTTAAAAATGCGGTCAGATTGGCGTGCATAGACGTGGTTTATTGAACCCGGAGCACAAAAAGCAGTCATAAGGGTCACTTTTTTTAAATTGAGATTTAGACATCATCTGAAAGCCGAATACATAAGCTCTGTTAGGATAGGACGACATTTGGCTGAGATGCAACTATTTGAAAATCTGAGGGGGGAAAAAAATTAAATATTGAGACAATCGCCTTTAAAGTAGTCCAAATGAAGTTCTTAGCTATGCATATTACTACTGATCAAAAATTACGTTTTTATATATTTAGAGTAGGAAATTTACTAAACATCTAAATGGAACATGATCTTCTAATCGAAAAAAAATTATTGATTGAAAAAAAAGGTAGTTAGTTAGGCCTACAGCTTTAAACTAATTCCAGTGGTCAGAGAATGCAAATCTAAGCCAGGAATCATGCAAACTGCAGCAGGGACTGTGAGCACACGTTTACAGACGCTCACTTCCTTTATTTCTGTAACCTTACTCCACAATCACAAGGAAGAGATGCCAACTCGCCTTTCATACGTCCACCACAAACCAACAGGTGTAAAGACATGACAAACAGACACCATTTTAGCCAGCACTGATATATATATATAGAGGACTATACAGAGCACAACAACAAGAATGACTGAACATCTCCCTCGAAACCACCTGGTGACTAAACAAGCCTAAAACACACAAGTGGCATCACACACCTCTCATTCTTCACCTTTACCTCCACAACATTTCCTCATACACCACCTGGACTGTTGATTCTGTAGCATTAGGAGAGATTGTTAAAGGCTCTGAATGCTGTTTCTGGACCCATCCCCTTGCGCTATAACGTCAAGCCATTAGTGCTAAGCTAAATGATAAACAGTGAGATGGGTGGACGTTACGCTGTGGTAAAACACAAGTGCATTTCAGTTCTCTTCACGAGTATTAATACTCGTTTCTAAGCCCTTTGAATTGCAATAAATACCTCTGTTATTCCTCCGTAATGTCGGTGAATGAAGTGCTGCGTTGTGTCCGTTGCTAACTGACTGGAGTCTAGTCGGGCCTCAAATCGAGCGTCGATTTGACGGAGGATTAAACACACACCTCTACCTTAAACCCATTGAAACGTTCACAGTCTAACTGTGATTTCACGCCGCCCGTGGAAGTAACGTTACAGCTCGACTGATAGTTGAGCGCCCGTTAGCGCCCCAGCTTATGACAGCGTCCCGGTGCACAGGCTTTAGCATTAGCCTGTGCGCTCCACTATGCAGCCCAGCGTCAACGCGAATGAATTTGACAGCGCTTGACAGCGCCGAGCTCAACTGTCTTATACGAAGTCGTTTAGTCGTTTAGCTCCCACTCACCAGCCGTTATGATACCAGAAAACAAGCGCAATCTTCTCAATCGACGGAAGGAGGAACGGACCAGACATTCAAAATGGCGGCGGCCCCAGCCTCAGCACTTCTACCGCAGGCGGAGGGATACATGACTGATGGTCAGAGAACTTCAAATGCGGATGTAAGAAGGTGCGACCCGCTCTAGAATCTAGTAGTGATTGATGCTGTGAGCTTGTGTTTATGAGCATCGCCAACATTTATTACCGCGTTCATGCGTTAAAAAGAGAATACGAGTTTAAAAATGCGGTCAGATTGGCGTGCATAGACGTGGTTTATTGAACCCGGAGCACAAAAAGCAGTCATAAGGGTCACTTTTTTTAAATTGAGATTTAGACATCATCTGAAAGCCGAATACATAAGCTCTGTTAGGATAGGACGACATTTGGCTGAGATGCAACTATTTGAAAATCTGAGGGAAAAAAAAATTAAATATTGAGACAATCGCCTTTAAAGTAGTCCAAATGAAGTTCTTAGCTATGCATATTACTACTGATCAAAAATTAAGTTTTTATATATTTAGAGTAGGAAATTTACTAAACATCTAAATGGAACATGATCTTTACTTAATATCCTAATGATTTTTGGCATTAAAGAAAAATTGATCATTTTGATCCATAAAATGTATTGTGCACAAATACACCCCATGCTATTTATGACTGGTTTTGTGCTCCAGGGTCACATATAACAAGAGGCTCTAGCCACCTCGTTATATAAATCCCAAGATATGTTCGCGGGGAGACTTGTGATACTATGCACGTTTTTACTCGTATTATGTCAGAGGAGTGTAGTTGTGCTTTAACGCTAGTCTACGTGTCAATCCGGCGGAAGACTTGCCCAAAGAGGCGTGCTGCGGTTCACCTCGTGGCAGTCAGTGTTGAGGCACTTCCTTCGGGAGTCACTAAACTATGGAGCCAGATCGGCCTCAAAAATAATACATTTATTAAACAAAATTCATTTAAATGCACAGCACAATTTACATTTCAAAACACAATTCATAAATACAGAAGTAAAAGCATACATATTTCCCCAAATGCTCACACAAAAGCATCTTACCTAAATACATTTAAAATGTTTACACAAATATGTATATATCAAGTTCTTGAATTAATTTTCATCACACGTTTATGAATGATGTTACATGTATTTATGGATCGTTGAATCTGCATTTGCAAATCATCACACATGCGTGGACTGCTTTGAATTTGTGTGTGGTATTTTTGAGACCTTCCTGGCAGGTTAAGATTCATAAATATCTTTTTTTGGAGGATGTTCCGTTCAGCCAATCGCGGTGAGCTTTTAATCCACCAATCAAAACGCTCTTTACTGAACAGACTCAAGAAGCTCAACGCTGCGCTTGTACTGTGCATTGTTTCTATGATCGGGTCCTTGATGTAAAGACATTTTAATGGGTACTCTTTTTTTTTTTTTTTTAGCACCTGATTACAATTTCTACAAAATCACATTATGATTTATATCGTTCGCACAAAATACAGCTACCCGGTTAGCCTGCTGTCTTATTTTGAACGTACGAATTGGATTTTGTAAATGTAAATTTATGAATTTTGTTTTATAAATGTATTATTTTTGAGGCCGATCTGGCTCCATACTAAACTGGATCTCTTTAGTGAGCCATGCGTCGCTCGGTCGGGCTGAGGAGTACATCTGCGGTGAAGTTTGGCACTACAGAGGTTTCTAACAAGTGTTGCAATGATCAGTCCTTACAGAACAGCATCTGATGCCAAGGACCCCCAAATATGATGACCTAGCTATCTTCCTAATAATAAAGAGGGGAAAAAAACATTTATATTGTGTGAGAAAATTAACCATGATATTATCAAGACAGCAAGTTGTTTCCAAAGTCAAATAATTGCTTTCATATTGTAAAATAGTTAATCTTGTAATAGGCTAATATTATGTTGTATTGTATAATATATCATAATTGTTTTTCTAAAACAATTCAAAAACTATTCAAAGATCACCTGGAATATAAATAGTAATAATTCGGTGTCCAGCTAGAACACGGATTGATGCCAAGGACCCCCAAATAGGATGACCCATCTTCCTAAAATATAAAAAACTGCTTTTTCACAGCACATATTGTGTGAGAAAATAAAGCATGCTATTATAAAGCCAGCATATTGTTTCCAAAGTCAAATAATT